ACCTTAGGTTTGTTGCTTTTAGTCTTACCGCTCTTCAACCCACCTGTCTGGCATGATAGGACCTTGAGGAACGGTTTTTTCAGCCATTATATCTCAGTTGCTTCATCACGATAAGCGAGCCCGACCACCACGTCAAGGTAGCAACAACGGTCGCGTCTAGTTTAGATCGACTCACGGATTTTACGAATGAAATAGATGGTAGATGATTAGTATGTTGTTTCATTCTATGCTACAAATTCATAAAAGAGATTTTTAGAATGTACCAATTTGTGCATTACTTAATATCACCTCTATTGCCCTCCTTTGTATGCCCAAACGACTGATGATCTACATTGAAAATCATTGGACTGGTCTAGGAATTACTGTTTTCCTTTTAAGAAAAAAGGAAAATGCCCAGTTTGTTTCTTTTTTTCAATTAATCAAAGGCGAATATAGTTTGATCTTGGTACATGAAATTTGAAGAATAAAATAAAGTAATTGGTCACCATAAATTGTGAAGAGAATTTTTGATATTGAACGGCGCCAAATTCTATTTTGTAATTTATTAGTGTGTACAGTAAATGTTTGAATATCGCTTTCAACAAACGTGTGAAACCACTGGTGTGTTTTGTCATTGGAAATAATCAGATATATATGTATGGCTGTAAATATTAATGATAATTATTATTACCACTACTACGATCACATAAATCACATATCGGAAACAAGAACCAACATATCAAGATATACTGAGGCTTAACAGTTCGTCGTCTCCAGCCCCGAAACATTTAAACCAAGTTCAATATGATAATCAATCACTTCACCTAACGATCATATATTCATCTTGAATATAAACAATACTGAAGACTAGGAGAACATAATTACAATCAGTGCTCAGTAGAATTACTTTAATTTTTATTGTTATCGACAAAAAAGGAAGACATGTTGAAACCCTAGTTGCCATGGTGACTACAAGTTTGTTATACATTCAAACTGAATACATAACTTCAATTTGCAAACCTTCTCATCAATTTTTTGTGATTACCGACACAATGGTCGGAATTTCAACTCAAAGTATTTGGCTATAACTCAGTCACGTTCATAGGTGATTCCCAGTGAGAATAGGAGTTTCATACTACAATGAAACTGATAAATTTATTCATTGAATGCTCGATCAAATTTCCGAGTCGCTCCTAATTACGGCAAACTAAATTTGCACTGTAACTTGAATGCAAGAGAAAAAGCGCGAAGTATAGAAAAGAACGTTACTCCAAGATAAATGTATGAACAGATAGTTGTGCGTAGTCATACCACTTAACGTGACCTTGGTCGTCTAGACAGTACTAGAAGAAAAACAAATATATCAGTAAGAAGATAATCATTCGATCAAAAAGATGGAAAATGATTTGTCGTCCTTCTAGTTGCTCCAGAGAAATTTCTATCCCATCCCGATTTGACAAAATGTTTCCTTGTGTTTCCTCAACCCTTACTGACTTTTGCAAATAGAATTTTGGAACTTTCTAATGGAAGTAACTAATTGGTTTAACTGGAGACAGTTCATGATGTAAATGATCATAAAGTTGAATGATCAATCATCACGAGTCACCTTAACATAATAAATAAATTCTAATTCTCTGGTTTATAATCCTCTTACTCCACATTTTTAGTTTAACATCGAATCTTGTTAAATCACTCACTGTTTCACCAGTTTTTGCTTTTAATCTCAATGCTACTTTATTACTGTCATCATTACTGTTATTATTCATTGAAACTTCGATTATTTAGAATATAGTTGAGTGGGAATATTAAAAAATTGAATGCATAAAACGTTTTAGATGGAATGATTTGGTCAGTTTAAGAAGTAGGTCTATCCGCATGAAACTGTCTTATATTAATTGTGGATTTACATAACAACCATTCGAGGGATTGACTATCGTGTTAATTCACTTTAATATGTCACTTAATAGTATTTTACAATAATCCTATTGATATCATGTATAATGAGATCATGGTTACTCGTTAATTAACAATATCCACACATTCGAATGAAAACTACTGTTTCTACTTCTTTCCTATGTTGATTCCCTTTCTATTCAGTTCTGTTCTTATCTTGTTCAAAATTTATCACAGAGAACCCAGATATTCATATTGATTTTTATAAAACAATAATCATTATTTACCATATTTATTGGTTCATCCACTTGAGAATATTATCTAAAGATGGATAAATAGATAAATAAATAGATTTCCTTACAAAAAATTTCAGGACCGAAATAGCGATAAACACATGATAGAATAGATGAAGTAACTCAATGTGACATTGAATAAAGAAAAGACATTGAATATTTGAAAAAAAGAATGACGCAGTGAACCTTATCCATAGAGGAAGGCAGATAAACTATTGAACAGAAAAGTAAATTTATTTGTTTAGCTGTCTGAATGTACCCATTGAAGTTTAGAACCTCAATTGATCAGTCTCTTTTTAGAATATGTACATCCTGTAAGGATACCTCAATATTATCATTAAGTCATAAGCATTTTTGAAGCAGAATTTGATGGCGATACGATGGGACGAAAATTCAAAATTAGATTGATTCACTCATTATGATTTTTATTCAACATTATTCTCGTCTTTTTTAATTCAATGTGGTGATTATTCAGTGTAGCATTTGGTTTAGTTTTCCCGTATGACCTTTTTATTCTGTATAACATACGATATTCTTGTATTCAATTGACATGAACTATGCTCAGCATACGATTTGTCATAACTGAGTATTTTTTATATATGTAATTTCATCTTAATTATTAATCAATGTGTGTGTACAATTAATATATAAATGAACGTGTTTTCGACTAGGGTCGTCGTCATAATCGTGTTTCGGGGGTTAATAAACCTTCGCATCGTGGCAACTGAAGAAGTCCTTCGTTTCGAGTATAAGTGATAAGCGTTTCCACCACAACAATCAGCGAAGACCAGATATAACAATTAGCGTTAAATCGACAAGACATATCAGTAGCGATGGGGTTAAAACAAAGGAACCCAGTTCAACCAGTAATTGGACGAAAATCAGTGTAACTATTTTGGACAATCAGCATACAGAATGGTCGTCGATATCCTTGAACGATATTGGTTGTTAATTAGTCATACAGTATTTTTCATTACCATGATGATTCATAAAGAAATATAAAATGGCTCTCCCTTCCGATCAATCACAGTTGCTATATCAGCGACAACAGCAGTGTTTTAAAAAGAATCAGTTTGAATTTATAGACAAATTGCACACATGTTTGCTGAATCATCCATACTATGGAGATGTGACGGAAATTATTGAATTCATTTCTAAATTGTGTACAGAATTGGAAAATGATTGCATAATGAATTCATGTGTCAGTGAAGGACTCCATGAATCCTTGCTAGCATTAATACATGTCAAATGAATATATTTGTATTTCAATGTTGCCAATTAAAACCCAAATCCCGATATTTGCCATTTATTTCCACCTCGTCGAAACAATTCTATTCAATTCCGTATTTATAAGGTCATAAGATCAAGGAGATAATACTCAGTAAGTTATTTTTACTCATGGTAACATTTTTTAAGATTTCGGTATTAACAAATCGAGTCAAGTGATAAGTTGTGACTTAGTGATTAGTGATGAATTCAGCTAAGCTGCAGTTCATTCAAATCTGGTTATGTTATTATTATTATTATCATTATTCAAAATGAATAAAATATACATAATAAGTATGTTAGATAGTTTGAAGTAGCCGATAAGAAATCCTGAACCTAGGTTTCATGTTAGTCGGGAATCTTCAGTATGATATACCTGAGGATTCGTTTCCCAATCACTTAGCTTCACAATTTAAGACATTACTCATGAATTATTCAGGTTACAATTAACTGAGAAATATTTTTAATTGATTGATCAATGTCATGATTATCTAGTTCGGATTGAATTCTGTCAATTAAGAGTCAGAATATGACTGTTAGTCTAAGTTACCTGATATCGTCTGCATTATATTAAGATGTGAGATGGGTGAAGGTAGTGAGAAAGAAACTTTGAACCTACATTTCATACTATTTCACTTGATAACTAGAATTAGATTAGCATTAGAAATTAGCAATTTAAGGGACTAGAACGTACATGACATTTGTCACTACTTTATATCTTCTATTTTATTCCGATGCTCAAGTTATGTTATATCTTACAGCCTACAGTTACTTTTATATCGATATTTCATAATAAAAATCTAAAATAGCTTTATAGTTTAACTATTTTGTTTCCTCTAGCATAGTGATAGGAATAGAAACAAAGAAAATCATCACATATGAAATTACCAAATTAGAATTTCTACTATGTGTGTGTGTGTGCACATATAAATATACATTCGTATGTGTGAATATGTCTGTTTACCTCATTATTGTAGTGTACAATAGAAGAAATTCCTGTCAATCATACACTTGCATTAACCTCGAAAGTCATTTCTATCTTCATTATCATCATAACTGTTGGGATAAAACACAGTAATCGAATATTTGTTGATAGAATGTGTTAGATGTTGTTTAGAGATATTTAATGTACAGAAGAAAAAAAAAAGAAGTGGCATTCCCTAAAACATATAGACCAATAAGAATGATTGTTTCTTATTATGATTTAGTTGTTCGCTTATCAATTGTAATATAAACATAACGACATGCAAATTGTATGTATGTTTAGGTAAAAAGAAAAAGAGAAAAAAAACTAGTACGTCATGGATATAGTCATTATTATTAATTGCATTTTTTTTTCCTCTTGAAATCATCAACTTAGACCAAAGATATAAATTTACCTGTCTATTCACTCTTCTACATCTCTATCTCCTCTCTGTCCGTGTATCGCTCATTTCATTTTATGTGATAGTGGATATCTCATTTGAATGGTTATTTAAAACAGGTACACAACTCTTTGAATAATGTGTATTGGTTTATGTGCATATGAATTAAGATATTAATAATAGTACGGCATAAATTCAGAAGTGAATTCAAGCCAAATATATACATTGATAGATAGACAAACATATCATATTCTCGTATAGAAAGTGTGCTCGTTTGAAATAGTTTTATCTACGACATTATGAGTAAGAGATTGGAAAGTGTGACTAGTCTTGAATATTATTACAATTACGTCAAAACAGGTTAACTATTGTGACGCATTAAAATTGAGGTCATCTTATTCAAATCAACTTTTTATTATTAGGATACATAACGACACGTGTATACACACAACACATCAACAAATACATCTACAGTAAATCCTCAGGTATTGGAAGATTTAAATTTGTACATCTTTCTTTAAAGAAGAATTCAGATCGTTTTTTTTCTGCATTCGAGAACTTATTTTCATGGTTCATATTATTTTTGGAAATATCAAAGAAAGGAATTAAGTTTATTGGAACAACAACAACAACAAAAAAAAACAATTTTTTTCACTGATTACTTCGTTTAATTAATTAAAACTCTTCATCATTATCACATGCCAACATCGAATGAAACATACATCTATCCTGATCCATGCCCAGAACAACAACAACAAACGACTAAAATGCGTTCACTTAATTCAATTGAACAAAATCGTACAGAATCAATGAAAGATTTAGCGGATTGTGTTGAACAAAATGGTGGTCTTAGGGGATATTTATCTAATGAATCCATTCAATGTTCCAATAATAATAATAACAATAATCCAAAGTCAGCTAGTATAAACGTAAATACAACAATGAGTAGTATGAATGATATCACAATGACATCGGATCAGCATAGCAGTAGTAATAGTATCACAGGTGGTGGTGTTACTGGTAGTGATGGAGATCGAGATGGAGGTGGTGTTAATCAGTTTGGCAAGAAATTTTCAAAAACCAATTATTCCACACACAATCACCCTCATCATCATCAATCACAATTGCATCAAAATGGCAATGCGAGTACAGGAGCTGAGAAAATGTCAAGAACGAATTTATACATAAAAGGATTACCAGAAAATTTTGATGATGAACAATTATGGCAATTGCCACCGGATCAAACAAAAATCAAATCAGTAAAAGCAGCCACTGATGAGGATACCAAATGTCGGGGTAAGTAAAACACAATTAGTTCTTTGTTTTTGTTTTTTTGTAATTCTAGGAGCTTTTTTCTCTGTAGGATTTTAATTTCAATTCATATAATTTCCTGAAAACACAACAAAAATATCATCTTTTTCCACAATCAGTTTCCATCCAATATACATAATTATTTGTTTGCCAAATACTACGACAAGTCGATTGCAGACAGAGATAGTAGATGTATCGATTACTTATTACTATTATTATTATTACTTGGTAATGAATTCATGTATTCGAAAACTAATATGTCGGTTTCCCAAAACACCACTCTAAATCACCATAAATCACTTTAAAAGTACCAAAGTGTTACTGATTCAGAAATGTAGTTACAATAATCAATCGTATATTCAATAGGTATTTGTTAATATAAACTTATACTACTTATCAAATGTTTATTAACACCTAATACACTTACAAGTATTAACAATTATTTAGCTAGAAATCACAGTAAAGAATAAATTGTATTGACATTATTTTCTAATCCCATTGAACTGATTAAGTTGAAGTGAACATAATCATCACATAATCTAGTCGGTAAAAAAATTCCAATCAACCTTAAACGAACTGTTTTTTTTCTTTTGTACCTTTTCCCCCCCCCCTTTAATTTTTGTTGTTGTTGTTGTATGCCTGTGCATATGTGTTTGTACACATAGTAATTATTGACAGGTAACTGAATAACCTTTCGTATACAATGGAAATAACATTCATTTTAGTAAATAATAAATAGTTATGTGAATTACTGTTGATGTTAACACAACTGAACGGAGATATTTATTTTAAAAAGAAAAGAAAAAGAATGACAAGAAAAGGGTAGACACAAACATTTTATACAAATCAAAACAATATCTTGAATGTACACTCGTACACAGAGAGAGAGAGAGAAGAAAAAGTACAATGATTACAAATTAAGTTGTAAATAGATAATGACGTAAACTAATAAGTTTTCATTCCTGTACTTTGATTGTATTAAATGTTTGTTATTATTTATTATAGTAGTAATTACATTAGTACAAATTATAGTTGTCAGTAGTATAGTAAGATGATATTTTGTCAGTTAGATTTAGTTTTATGTAAATATATATTTATTGATTAAATATTTTACCAAACATTAAACGTGATTCAATCAATATCAGTGATATATTGATTGACGTTCAAAAATTATCACCACAAACCAGATTGTTTTTACGTCAGTAGTCGGTAGATCAACATTTAATTTACCTGAATACTACTGAAAAGAAAAATACCGGTTGTGGTAGTAGTAGTATTTGTTATTATTGTACCAGTAATAATGCCAATAATAACAAAATCTTTGTTTATAATATAGACGAGATTTTTTTTATAGGTGACTACACGAAAAGGAAATTACAACATTACAGTTTTATATATTCCTAAATAAAACAAACGGTTGTTATTTATTTATTCATTGATACTCATTCCGTTTCTTCTTAACAGATACACACACACATGATCAAACGCAACTGTACCTTATTTCGTTTTTCTCTCTATCTTTCCCCTTTTCCATTTTATTCTCACTTTAAATTTTATGAGAAGTAACCGAATAAATTAGGCAAGGTCAATGATAGATCATTTTATTTAAACAAGTGTTGATTTTAATAAATTATTTCATCTCATTCATATTGATTTCATCAATCAATCACTCAGAGGAACAATCAATAGAGAGTTGGAACATTATTATTATTATTATTATCACTGCTACCATTATAATTTGTTTTCTACATAACCGGAAACTACTTAATCATTATTATTATTATTACTCACCAACAATGAGAAGACTAAAAGATATGGTTTTTTTTATAGAATAAGAGTTTTTACATTGAAAAAAGTTTTGTAGATCAATTTCGTGGATTAGTTGAAGTTAGACATTAACACCGTTGGATGCCGGCCAGCTCAGTGGTCTAGTGGTTAAGCTGTCGCACGCGGGGCTGGTAGGTCCTGGGTTCGAATCCCGCGAGGCAGGATCGTGTATTCGCACTGTTGAGGAGTCTCATAATAGGAGGAAACGGCTATCCAGTGCTTCCAGGTTTTCCATGGTGGTTTAGCTTCAATTGATTTATGATCTCAACTATTGAAATTACTACAATTTCCACAAAACTCCTTCTGATCATTAACATTTCAATGAGGAAGTGAAAATAATAACATAGACTAAATGATGGTATAAGATTATGGTGTTTTATCTATATCGGAATAGCAGATCTCTTGGCAACAAATGACCAACAACGAGAGTGAAAGAACATAGCATAGAGCTAAATTGTGCGTTGATTTATGTTAATTCAGTCAATAAAATTACAATGTTTAAAAAAAATAGATTTTATGTTGGTTGAAACTAGTGCTTCACATGATTGATATCTTTCATTCGGTTTATGAAATCTTTTCTTCTCTCCTTTTTCTTTCATTTAAGTAATATCTTAATTATGTAATCAATACTAAATATTTATTGAAACAAACGAATAAACATTGCTGTACGATAAATTCAGTAGTATTGCTTTTTGATGAATATTTTTGGTCCATTTATCTTGTTCTAGTGTAGTAGGAGATGAGAAATTCATTTTTTTTTAGCTTGTTTCCATCCAACTCGTGCTTCCAGTCGATTTCCCACTCCCAACCTTTACCTTATCAACGTCTTCATTCAAAATTTATCTTCACTTAAATATTTGAATTTTTCGAATGTATTCAATACAAAAATGTAAAGTAATATGAAGGTTAAGTAGTTTGATTGGTAAATAAAATTCACAATAACATGAATAACAATGTCATGGACATATAGAAAAATATTTTTGTATTTATGTCATATAATCTTCCATAGAAATAAATGTTTTTATGCAAAATATAAGTATATCTGTCAATTCTATTAATTTTTATGTGGTTTACCTCATGAATCGAACTTAATCGGAGTATTACTTTCAACCAAATTGTAATGTGGAGCTCCTCATCAGTATGTGCATACATTCCCATGTATCTATAACTTCTACAGCTGGGGGTGACTACTTAACTGTCAGAAGAGTTAAGGTAGCATCCACTGGTACACGTTTTCAACTTCAAATAATCCATTAAATAGCGTGATTAATATCTTTTACTATTTATTAGGGAGTACTTTAGTCATGTCCGAATTCCATTAGTCATGAATTCTCATTAAAACTTCAAGGAACTGTTTCAATATGAGTCATTAATGGACTGAGTGATATAGTTTAGGTAACGTAGTATGATATAAAATGAATATTTCCATGCATTTCTCTGAATAATTTTAATATCTATGCATAAATTTTATCACCTTAAATTTATAAAATAAATCGATACACTTATATGTATTCAACCCTCATATGTCAGAATGCACCGCAACTATTTCTGTCATTATAATTTAATTTGTACAATTTCAGCATGAATTCGATTATTATTATTATTATTATTACTATCGTTAAGTTTTATCTATAATCGATCAATTTCGATCGATAACGCGATTGTTCTATTCGTGATTTTTATTTAAGGAATAATTTACACCAACATACCTGTTTTTTAGGATAGACAGTTGTGGAAAATGTTTAATTTTGTAGTTTTAAATCGGGGACTAGTTTTGATCAAACAAGCATTCAAAATTAGGAAGATGGACAACTATTTTTTCTTAGTGTTAATAGTCCCTGACAGTTTGTATTGACGATCGCATCAAGGATCAAACGTTGTGCTTACGGGTTTTGCAAAAACTGTTTGACTTTTAAACCACCGATTTAAGATTCAATGGGTTTCATTTTTAGCCTCAGTTAGTTGAAGATATCTTTAACCGTCATCCATTGCCAACAAACATATCCATTTAACTCCCTTCAGTGTTGAAATCCGCTTGACAGAGTTTCTCACTAGAATTTTGAGTATCGTCTCTCAAAGTTAGTCACTAGTCTTCATATTACGGTTTTTTTTAGTGTAAAAGTGTGCGGAAAATGTTTTCTTTGTTTAACCCAAGTCATTGTGTGATTTGAAACTAGATTTTCATTTGTTCTACAACAAGAATACCAAATTTAAATGTAGGTGGTGTCGTTAACTGACATAAGATTACTTGTATTGACTTAATTTATATATGTGTTTCTGTGCTCAATTTGTATTTTTCTCATTGATAAAGGTATGATATTGATTCATTATTACAACCACATAACTATATACAACTAACAAAATTGACATGCCTTTTGAAAAAAATAGTTTTACTTATTATCAACATGGAATGCACCGATACAAAATGAGAAGCTAATCAAATTCAGATCAATCGTTTCATAGAATTAGATCGAAATTAAAGAATCAATTAAGCTAAACAGACAATGTTTATAATTCTGTATTATTCGAACATATATATATATAATTCATAAATTATTAATTTGATCGGTTAAACTATAATGAATAAACAAGGCAACAACAACGTTAAAATTATCTTATGATTTTGAAGTCACTTTTTAGACAATCATCATATGAGAGTTTGTACAATTCAATGGGATTTCACAATAGAAATAATGAAACCTCTTAGACTTTAGTGGTTTTTAGAAAATCTATTAGTTTTTCAAGAATTACTATCGGTTCTTCTTTCTTAATCATCTTAATATATCAGAATAGGGAGTTTGTGGAGATATTAGTAGTCCCACGTTCTGGATTGTGAATAAGCGCTATTGAGGAGTTACATACTAAGACGAAATGGCAGTCCAGTACTTCTAGGCTTTCAATGGCAGTCTAGCTTAAATCGACTCATGAATTCATGCAAATATATTTCAACATAACTGGTCTGAATTTTTTTCTCATCGCCATAAATAGTCCCATAGAAAAGTCATTATCGTTTACAAAATCGACATTAATCAATTCATTGATAATTCAATCAAATAAATCTATAAAGCAACAATGTAGGGACATCATGCATGAAATCGTTTTTCTTTTTTCTAATTTTTACCATTCCAATTTCATCGATTCACCCGTGACAAAGATTC